AGACTCCCCGCCGAGCAGGGAGCCCGATGCGGGACTCGATCCCGGGGCTCCAGGATCATGACCTGAGCCGAAGGCAGTTGCTTAACCAACTGAGCCACCCAGGCGCCCTGCTTCTCTAATTTTTAATGAAAATATTTATATTTTCTGGTATGTAGTTTGTGGGGGCTTTTTGTTTGTTTTAGGAATGGAAGTTGAAATGATTGTGGAAATAGTAAGTGGAAATAAATGATATTTCATCCTTAGGGTTATCTTCCACCTACAAAAAATGGTGTGGAACCAAAGCGACCCAGCCGACCAATCAATATCACCTCACTTGTCCGATTGTCCACAACAGTACCAAACACCATTGTTGTTTCTTGGACTGCAGAAATTGGAAGAGTAAGTAAATTTTTATTTCTACTAGATTTTAGTATTATAAGGAAGGGATGATCTCCATGGCTACCTGAGCTTATATGTAAATGATAATGTAAAATGAGTTGCAAAAGGATTTATTTTTGTCTCACAATGAATTTTCAACATGTTCCCATTTAAAAAATGGGATCATGCAGTATTCATTGTTTTATAACCTGATCCTTTCACTCAGCCATTTATCATGAACGTCTTTTTATGTTATTACGTGTTCATCTGCATGATTTCTAATGGCTAGGTCATATTCCAGTATGAATATGCCATAATTTAGTCTATCCCTATTGTTGAGCAGTTAGTTGATTTATTGATTGATCGATTCATTGCTGTTTCAAAGATCATCCTAGTAGCTATGCTTTTGCAAACATATATCATAATTTCCTTAAATTCCCAGAAGTGGAATTCCTGAGTCAAAGAGCATGCAGAATTTAAAGAAATGTTGTGTACTTTGACAGATTGCCTTACCAGAAGATGTACAAATTTATTCTCTGACTTTCAGTGTTTGTGTGCCCCTTGACCCATACCCTCTCAATACTTTTATCTTCTTTAAAATCTTTACCAAGTTTAGTAGGTAAATAAAGGCACCATGTTGTTTTGATTAGTGCTCCTTTTATTACTGAGATCGAACATATTTTGTTGTGATTTACATTTTAAAATTATATCCGTATTTATTTCTCTATTGCTGTTTTTCTTATTCTTATTTATGAATTCTTTATATATTAAGCCTTACCCTCTTTCACATGTTGGAAATATTTGTTTCCAGTTTGTTTGCCTTTTACTTTTATTTATGTGATTATTTAATATTTAGAGGACTTAAATTATTATAGAGCCAATTTTTAACCAGTTGTGTGTGTGTGTGTGTTCTTTCCTCCTCAGTCCCCATCACACTTAAGTCTGTCTGCCCTTCCCAACCTTACATAAATATTTGTTTATATTTTCTTCTAGACTTTTGAGGTTTTTTGTTTTACCTTTAAATAATCCATCGCAAGTTCTATGTGGTGTGAAATAAAAATTTACTTTCATTTTTTCAGTAGCCAGGTGGTCTGACACCATTAACTAAATAAATGCTGATTCAGAAGCCACCATTACTATGTGTTTGACTTTTATTTATCCTATGTGTGTTTCTGAATTTTTTTATATTGTTCCTTAGTCTTGCATTCTTTTTCTGGGACAATTTCAGAATGTTTTTGATTATTTCAGTGTTATCATGTGAGCTCATGTCTATTCATTAATTGATTTGAAATTCATTGAATGCTTACTGTATGCCGTGCCTTTACTGAAAACTGACAGTACCATAGTGAGAAAAGAAAGTCCTCATTCTTTTAGAGCCTGAGGTCTGGAGCCAGGTGGTCAGACACAAAAAAGGTGAACATACTTAGCAGAAGGACTATGGAAGGAGAGGTGTGCGGTGATTTTAGAGTATATTAAAGGGTACTTTGAATTAGGCAGAGGTCAGGTAGGGCTTCGTTGAGGAAGTAGTGACTGAGCCAAGAGTTAAGAGAAGGGTAGAAGGAAGCAGTTTGGGCAAAAGGTTCAGAGGACACAACCTGCACAACAGCTCAGTGGCAGGGGTGAGCCTGGTTCTTTTCAGGAAACTGAGAGGGAGCCACTGGGGCTGGAGTGCAGAGAGTGGGGAAGAGCAGTGTACAGGATGAGGCTATAGAGGTAAGAAAGGGTCAGGCCATGCAGGGCCTGTGAGGTACTGTTAATGTTAAGGATATTCTCTCTCTCTCTCTCTTTTTTTAAAAATTTATTTATTTGAGAAAGAGCATGCTGGAGAGAGAGGGCACGCACGTGCACAGGCAGCGGGGAGGGACAGAGGGAGAGGGAAAGCAGACTCCCAAGGAGCAGGGAGCCCAATGCAGCGAGCCCGATGCAGGGCTTGATTCTAGGACCTGGGATCACGACCTGAGCTGGAGGCATACACTTAACCGACTGAGCCACCCAGGCGCCCCAAGGATATTCTCTTTTTTTTTTTTTTTAAGATTTTATTTATTTGACAGAGACACAGCGAGAGAGGGAACACAAGCAGGGGGAGTGGGACAGGGAGAAGCAGGTTCCCCACTCAGCAGGGATCCCGATGCGGGGCTCGATCCCAGGACCCCGGGATCATGACCTGAGCTGAAGGCAGACGCTTAACGGCTGAGCCACCCAGGTGCCCCAGGATATTCTCTTTTTAAGTGAGAATTTTACAGTAGTATATTTCTGTTTACAAAAAGTTATTCTTCAGAGTGGTAAACAGTTTGAATGGAGGCCAGAATCATGCAGAGCAGTCACCTCTTAGGAACAAGCTATTGCTGAAGTATTAGTGGAAGAGAGCGGGTGTTAGCCTAGAGCGGTGGCAGTAGGGATGGAGAGAAGTCAGGGGTCAGTAGGACTGAGCAAGAAATTACAAGTAGGGGCGGAGAAAACCAAGAGATGTCAAGGATGACTCCTGGGTTTCTGGCTGGAATGAGAAGGTAAATGATAATATTACCGAGATAGAGGAAACACTGAAAAAGGATTGAGTTTAGGCATGTTTTTGGTCATTTCATTGCCTTGGAGGAAGGAGTGTTGGAGAACTAGATGATGAAGAAAATCATGAGTTCAGTTTTGAAGCTTTTGAGTTTGAGATGCCTGGGAGACGTTCTAAATAGGCAATTGATATTAGACTCAGAAGGTAAGTTTGGGCTAGAGAAGAAAATGTGAGCTAAGGGTGAGGGAGGCTGTGAGGAGAGCAGAAGTGTTGGAAGAGTAATTACAGAGAGGGAGCCACATTCCCCTGAATTGCTCCCCCAAATCTTTCTGGGAATTGGAATGAGATTGCTTTAAATTAGTACGTTGAGTTAGGGAGGATTAATTTATTTACAGTATTTAATATTTCCATTCCAGGAGCTGTATGTTTCTCCCTTTATTCAGAACTTTTATGTTCGTCAGTCATTTAATAAGTTTTTTCTTATAGATCTTCCATATTTTTTATTAATTCCTATATTGTTTATTGTTATAGTTGCTGTTGTTAAGTAGATCTTTTTTCTATTATATTTTCTAAAGACTTTATTTATTGTTGGTTTATTTAAAAGCTAGTTATTGTTGAATATTTACTTAATACTTGCATTCATATATTGGTTCCAACAGCTTTTTAGTTGGTTTCTTGGTTTTTCCAGGTGGGCAGTTCTGAGTTTGAAAAGTTGTATCGTTATACAAATAATGATAATCCTAGTACTTACGTCATAATTTCTTGTTTTCTGTTGTGCTGGCTAGAACCTTCAGAACAATGTTAAATAATGGGAGTGCTAGTGGACATGCTCAACTGTTTCTTACGAAAATGAGAATACTACTAGTACAAATAATGATGTAATTAATTTTTGACAGAACTTAATTACATCAACAGTATACTCCTGTATTGCTCTTTTACTGGATATCTTTGTGAGACATGGATTTTGAATTTTATCAGAATCCTTTTTGACACCTATCAAGATTATATTTTTTTCCTTTGCTTAATTAAATATATCACCATTAGGTTTTTGAAATCCTTTTAAATGTTTTACTTCTAGTGTACTTTGGGGGTTCGCCTTTGTCTCCCTTTTTGAAGAGGATATTGAAAAATGTTTTTTGTTTTGTATTGGGTTTTTTGCCTGTGGGTGTGAAACGTATAGCCTGCCAGGGTGTTTACAATGAACTATGAAAGAAGTCCCAAACTTCGGCAGAGGAGGGAAATGTGGTGCTGATACAAAGCATTAGAGAAGAGAGGAAAGCCTTTCAAACCTCAGAAAGAAGACAGTATGTTCAGTGATTTGAAGTGGTCTACTAGGTAAGATCTTTGTATAGACCACAGTCTACAAGTTAGAGACCTTCTTTTTGAAGTAAAACATTGAAAGAAAATTTTCTTTACCAAAGCCCAGAAGATAACTTATTATAATGTTTTTCTGTCACTAGTTTTAATTCAACTTGTAAGGATACTCTATTCATTTGCATAAGATCTCTTACTGTTTTGGGGATTATTAGTTACTACTGAGAAGTGTTAAAAATACATCTGCAAAGGAAATAGCAGAGTTAGTGTTAGCTAAAGCTAAGGTGGTAATCATATTACAATATATAAATGTGTCAAATGAACATGTTGTTCATCTTAAACGTACACAGTGTTATATGTCAATTATATCTCAATTTTAAAAAGACAATATATATATGTATATATATATATATTTTTTTTTTTTTTTAAAGAAGAGCCAGTGTAGTGCTTGAAGGAAATAACTGAACTGTATTGTAACTTCTTATCCTACCTCAGGGTAATCACTGCATTTAGCATTTATTAAACTCTCATTGTTTATAGAAAAGTTATTTAGATACTGGTATAAAGGACACTTCGTGAGTAGATTATATCTTAATATGGAGAAAATGTCCTTTGAACTTGATAGACAATTTTGAAGACTTTTGAGAAGGCATTTGACAAAAACATCAGTGTAATGCAGTATTTATGAGTAGTTGGAATTAAGTAGCACTTTGAAGGGTTAGCAGAAACAGTATATTATCTACCTAGACGAGATAGCTTGCCACTGTGAAGGTTTGGGGTTTTATGGTGCTGAATCTCTTTCAAGTGATACAAAACTGAATTCCATATTATCAGTACAAGTGGCATTTGTTAATACCTGACATTCTTTTTGCTGCTGCTGCTGCTGCTTTTTTTTTAATTTGGTTACATGTTTCAACTAGAGTGAACATACCTTTTCACTGAACTTGTAGTTGTGGTTTCTACTTGATCTCTCCTTAAAAAATTATAAAAAGCCTGAGGGGGATTTCTAGTACTGAAGATTCAAGCTGTCAGTACATAATTTCACAGTGTTAATTAGCATTTCTCCGGTTTCTGTCATACTCAAAATATTAATCAAATAAATAATAAAGGTGAATAAGGGTTTTTTTTCCCCCAGAGGAAGCCTTTTAGTTTTATTTTAGATTGGTGTGTTGTATGCTGTAAAGTTTAGGCAAGTTTTAAGGTTCCTTTAAATTAGCTTTTTTGACACTTCATTTTTTCCCCATAAAATATGTAACATACGAACATGGATAGGTTTCTGAACTCTAAGTGAAAATTTGGCCTTCCGGAGGATACTGAGATTTCCTCTTGTTGTCAAAAGGGGAATGCATATTTGAAAAGTCTGAAAGTTGGTTGGGAGGGTCAAAGCAAACAAGGTGTGTTATTGCAAGAACTGTTGAGAACTCCACTAGCCTTGGCCATTAAGTCCACTGTCCTGACAGCCCTATTCTTTCTTCCTGGGTTCTAGTGCCAGCTCTGTCACCAAGCAGATGCATGATCATGAGCAGATGACATATCTTTTTGTGCCTCCTTTTAATGAACTCTTTACTTAGAAAAATACTTACCCTACCTGTCTCGTATAGGCCTTCTGCGAGGTTTAAATTAAGTAGATAATATATGTTAAGAGTGCTTCAGAAATTGTATGTAGCTGTAAGCTAGAAGGTGGCAGTAAGTATTCTTCCTTTTGCTTCTTTCCAAATCTCTTGATCTTCTTCTTGATCCCAACACCAAATGGAAAGTGGCCCTTCTCATTTAGATCTCTCTCCTACCCTTAATAAGCCTCAGCCTTCTTTTCTTCCTCTTATCCAGTCATGTACCCTTCACTCCGCATTGGCTTTATTGATTAACTGTTTTCTTTGTTCCCTTCTCCTGCTGCCATCTTCTCTACCAGTCCTCTGCTGGTAATGGATATTCATCTATTCATTTGCCAAACCAGCAGCTTCTCTTTGAAAATCTTTAGTATTCCCTTTGTGATAATGGCCCACGTAGGGTCTTTCAAAACTAGTTAGCGCTATAAAGAGAGATTTGATGGTATAGATTAGGAAGCCAATCTAATTTGTAATTTTTAAATAGCTACTATTTTAGACCTGTTACCTACTAAATGTGGTTTATGGTGATTTTGACATCTTATTGGCCTTGGTTTATATTTCAGTTTTAACAATGTTTTTTTTTTTTTTATAGAGGTGCCTCAAATTGATTAGCTTCGAGCATAGGTAGTCAGGTAATATAGAAGCATGACAGACCTGGCTTTATTGCTTGAAAGTTGCAAAATTCTTTTACTTCTCTATACTTCCCTTTCCTCGTCCATAAAAGTAGGTTTATGACCACCTCAGCAGCTTTTTGGTTAGGACTAAATTAATTCCTGTTCATGAAAACACCTGATAGTGCCTGGCCACATAGTAGGTGTTTTAACAAGTGTTAGTTTTCTTTCCCTATCATTGTGGGATTAAAATAGATGTACTATTTACTTACGTATGTTGTTTTTCTACATCTTTTTTTTTTTTTTTTCCAGAACTATTCCATGGCAGTGTATCTTGTAAAACAGTTGTCCTCAACAGTTCTTCTTCAGAGGTTACGAGCAAAGGGAATAAGGAATCCGGATCATTCTAGAGCTTTAAGTACGTATGATAAACTTATTTCATTTATGCAGCTGAACTATTTTGGTAAAGGTTAGAGTAGTATATTTTCAATGAAAGAAATTTCTTTTCACTAGAGCTTGTTATAGAGGATTCAAAACACTGAAAGCTTGTTTTCTGAATAAAGTAAATCAAGACTTAGAAGTAGTTTTAATATCTTCGTTATGACCTATATTTTATAATCTCTATTTTACTGACCTTAAAAGTAACTTTAGAAAGCCAGTAAATGAATATGGAAGAATATTTTACTGTAACTTCATAAAATAAATGTTTATGGAATTCTAGGAGACAGGAAGGAAATCTTGGCATGTATTTCATGAGAATTATTTTGTATTTAAAGTTTATCCAGGAGAAATGTGCAGGATACGTGATGACTATATCCCTGAATTAATAAAGTAAAAAGATAGTGGGATGGTAAAAATAATAACGAAGCAGGTTCTGTTAATCAGTTATGTAGGCCTTGGACAAGTCACTCTACTCCTCTGAGTTTCATGTTCCTCATCTGTAATAAGAGGTTGTTACTATGTGATTTCTAAAGCTCCTCCAAAGTCTGGGCTCATAGTTATGAATAACTAGATGGTTCGTAGAGTTGTGTAGAATTTGAGATGCAGCAAGGTCTACAAATTGACCGTTCTAGCCTCAGTTTTTGAGGATGAAGGCCAGAGGTTGGCAGCCTTTCCCAGGAGGAGAAATAAGTTCTTCTTTTGTTCTCTTCTTTGTGAGAGATAGATTCTTTATGGATGGATGAATTCAGAGATGGGTCTGGACACAGGAAACAAAACTTTTACAGGCAGGGATTAGATAGCTCCTCTTTAAGGGTTCTTGATGTGAGTTGATTAATGAAATCCACTCTCAGATTTAGTTAGGCACACTCTGGTGAAAAGAACTAAAGTAGTAAGGCCAGCTTTCCTCTCACTTTCCTCTGTATAGCTTTTATCTTTTTTTGCTAACCTGTTTCTGTGCCAGAGTAAAAGATCCCACTACTTCTGAATAGCAGTATGCCCTCAGTAGTTCATTAAAGGACTTTTCTGCATTAAAAGAACCCTTTTTAAAATGCAAATAGTCCTGAGTCAAGAGGAGCACACTTTTGGCTAATGCCTCTGTAGACATTCCTCAAAAGGCAGTGGAGAGCTAGAATGACAGCACTGGTTTGGGGTCTAGGGGAGAGGAAGCACCAGTTGGCAGGGACAAAGAAGAACAGACAGACATCTGCTTTGTAGCACCATCTGGAGGGAGAGTAGGAAGGTGAGCCAGGATTATTTTATTTTCTGGAAGGAACCACTGTTAGTCACTATTAAGCAGCAACAACTTCTTAATTCAGAGGCTATTTATTTCATCTCTGATACAATGCTGGAAGTGGAGAGTAGTTGCAGAGTGAGTGGGATTTTTGTGACAGTTTATATCTTATCTTACTTACTGGCCTGGAGAACCAATAAAACATTAATTAGGATCCTACTAGTAAGATATTTGTTGTAATTGACCAAAGAACAGATTGTTTGCCTTTATACTATCTATAAAGAAATAACTTTCTGAATAAATTAATTGTGTAATTAAAAGACTGTATAAAACAACTTGACAGAAGAAAATGTTGACAGGTTTCTCCAGATTTTTGAAAAATCAAATGGCCTAAAAATATATTCATTGGAAGTCATTCTTAATCTTATCAGTAAATCTGCTGGCAGAGTTGTATTCATCAAATCAGGCACTATTATATTCTTGAAAGAATAAACTTAGTAATATTGAGACTTTTCACAGAGACATCTACTCTGATTCATTTGATTTAGTAGATTTAGTAGATTTTTGTCTTGTGGTTTTCACCTTTGTGTAGAGTTGTCTCCTCTATCGCAAAGGCAGCCCTTGACTAATTTTTGGTCACGTTCCTGTCTCCTCTCCTTGCAGCAGTCACTTTAAACCTTGGCCATAGTTTACTCAGACACTACTCCCCCTCTCGCAGCACACTGCCACTGCAAGAAAATTGGGGCTACAAGAGGTGAATTCCCTCAAATGTCCATTTCTTCCTTAATCTTAGTGCTGCCATAACTGCTTTTCAGCTTATCTACACTTGTACCTATCCTTACTTATTCTCTTCAGTCTTAGGAGGAAATGTCCCTTTTTCTGCTCAAAGTTAATCTTGTATTCATTTATTCTTCTCATTCAAGAAGTTATATTAAGAGTCTACAGTGTTCCAGGCACAGGAGAATATAGCATTAAACAAGACACACACTGTCTCTGCATCCCTTAGAAGTTTGCAGTCTGGTGGGAAAGACAGAATTAAGTGACTGAACGAGTCATTAATGAATTACAGTTGTGACATGTGCCTTAAAGAAAAAAGACAGGGAACTCTGGAGGCAATAACAGAAGAACGTAGTCCTCTCTGGTACTGTGATGTTTAAGATAAGATTATAAGGGTGAGGAGGAGTTAAGCCCCAAGATGAGAGGGGAATATGCGAAGAGACGAGGGCAGTGGAACTAGAGAAAAGAGAACAAAGGAGGACAGTGGCCAGAGAGATAGCCATGGGGTGAGTTCATACAGATGACATAAAGGTAGATGATAGAAAACTCTGAAAAGATTTTTAAGCAGTGACATCATCAGATTTGGGCAATAAGAAGGTTGCTCTGAAGACTGAATTGAGGAGAGGCTGGACTGATAAGATGAGGCCACTGAGGAACCTGTTGTCCAGGTAAGAGGTGATGGTGTCTTAAACATAGGTAATGGTGATGGACATAGAAGTTGATGGCTCGAGAACTGTTGAAGGGTAGCCGTGGTGGCAGATTACATGTGGGGAGTGAAGGAAAAGGAGAAGTCTAGGAGGAGTTACATGGTAGGGCCATTTACTGAAATGGAGAACAGTGTGGAAAAGATTGAGGTAAAGGAGGAAAGATCAGAGTGTATGCTTACACTAGTATTTGAGATGTCTGTGAGACATCCAGGTGGAGATGCTTAGAAGCAGTGTTATGAGACCTCACTCCCTCATTTATCTGCTCTCTGTCCCTCTATAAACTCTTCCTGTCAGCCTTACCTGTCAGGTCTTTTTCATCCTTTAAAAAGTACACAAACAGGCTATTCTCTACTCTAGATAGAGCTCTGTGTTCCTCCGGTTGTCCTCATCCTACTTTCTTCAAAGAGTGGTCTACACTTGCTGTCCACCTCCTCATTGCAAGCCATGTGCTCTTTTAACTCCCATCGTTCCACTGATGTCACTACTGACAGTCTGATTGCCAAATTTAAACTTTCTTTCCAGTTTTCATCTTAGATATTTTTGCTGCATTTCCTACCAACCTCTTTCTCCTTGAAAGACTCTTCTCTATTTTTTTCTCAGTTACTTGCCTTCAGTGGATTCTCCTAAGGGAAGCATTGTTTTCCCTGGGGTGTCATCCCTGGTCCATTTTCTGCATACTTTACCTAGAGATAATCACATCTAGCCTTACGGTTTAAATGAGCACCAGCTCCCAAATACCTTCCTCCCAGACCTTCCCCTGAGTTTCAAATACAGATATGTATAGCAGGCTAACTGCCTTCACCAAAACATTCCACTGGTTCCTCAGATTCAGTTATTTAAAACCAAACTCACCAAATCCTATCAAACTTCCACCCTAAATATTTCTCAAATCCGTCTTCTCTCTCTCTCTCCCTACCATCACTGCCCTCGTTTAAGCTCTCATATTCTTTGTTTAAAAAACCTATTCTTTTTTTTTTTTTTTTTAAAGATTTTATTTATTTATTTGAGACAGAGAGAATGAGAGACAGAGAGCATGAGAGGGAGGAGGGTCAGAGGGAGAAGCAGACTCCCTGCCGAGCAGGGAGCCCGATGCGGGACTCGATCCCGGGACTCCAGGATCATGACCTGAGCCGAAGGCAGTCGCTTAACCAACTGAGCCACCCAGGCGCCCTAAAAAACCTATTCTTAAGTAATCTATCCCTCTTCGTTCTTGGCCCCTCTTCATATCTCTCTCCTGGTAGCAACCTAAGTGATTAATGCAGATCTAATCTTACCATTCCCTTGCAATCCATAGCTTCTTAACGTCGTGAAGTAAAAACTCCCCACTTTGTTAGCATGACAGATGTAGCTTTCCATGAAGTGGCACCTGCTTACTGCTTCCCAGGGTCATCTGTATTCACTCTTATTCTTATACGTTATATTCCATAAATACTGAATTCTTTTCTTTTATGCACTGCCCTGCCAGTATTGTTCTCTGTGCCTCCGAACTTCCCTCTTCTTTGCCTGACTCCAGTTATCCTTCATACTTCACTTTTTCCAGGAGGCATCTCAGAACCCCCGGAGTGGGCGAGTTGACTTTGAGCTAGGTCCTTGAACACATTTGCGTTAGAGCACATTACAGATGATCCCACTGAGCATCTTTACTCTCTACTAGACTCTGAGTTCCTCTGGGCAGGAATTTAATCTTACTTATCTTTGAATTCCTAGTGCACAGTTCCTGGCGCATAGCAGATCCTCAGATTTTTGTTGAGGTAAACTGATTAAAAGAAAGGTAGAATAAAAATCCGGTCTCTGTGCCTCTGTTTCCTTGCCTATAAAATGAAGTATTGGCCTTAATATGTTCAGGTGTTTACAGCCTTAAAGTTCTAAAAGGATGACTATAAAATAATCTGATATTAAGGAATGATAGAAATAATTAAACAAACAAACAAAAAATCCAGCCCTAAAGCAGCAGAAATAGAGAAATCTGTGATGATGGAAATTTTGTACATTTGCAGTGTCCTGTGTGGTAGCTACCAGCAACATGTGGCTCTTGAGCTCTGAAATGTGGCCAGTGCAACTGAGGAACTGAATTTTAAATTATATTTAATTTAAATTTAAATATAGCTAAGTGTGACTGACTAGTGGCTAACTCTCATAGGTCATGACAACAGAGATTTTTAAAAAGATTAAATGTGGCTCGCTATAACTTTATTATAGGTCAAATAATAAAATACTGTTAACCACTGCACTCACAGTGACACAGGAAAACTTTAATTCCCGGAAGACTTCCCACACGTTGGTTGATGTTGCAGGGTAAATATTATGACTTGTCTTTATTTTTTACTCCCTTGCCCACACATTATAAGAATTTGCTTATTTTATTTTTCCTC